AGATTACATAGAGGGGCAGTTGTCTGCACCATGCTTTCTCAGTTCTAACATCTAAACTAACTGCAATATATTATGGTCTGTTGTACATCTCAAAGCTCTGCCACAAAAAGTTCATAGTTTATACAGACTCGTATAGTGCTCTTAAATCGTCAGAAGCTTTTCCCAACACTCAGAATCCTGTGGCAGTGGATGTTCTTAAAGTTCATACAAACTTAGCAATTCGAGGATATGAAGTCCTGAACTGCTGGGTTCCTGGGCATGCAGGAATAGAGGGAAATGAGCTTGCAGATATTGCAGCAAAATCTGCTGTTGAACTGTCCAGTCGCCTCATCCCTTTTAGAGACATCTGCTGTGTCATCAAGAGGAAGATCCGGAAAAATGGCAGCAAATTTGGGACGTTCAGCTTAACAACAAGTTGAGAAATGTAAAGCCTAGAATCGAGCATTGGGATTTTGCTCAAAATCGTAAGGAGGATGTTCTTTTGACTCGCCTTGCCTCGCCTCAGAATTGGTCACACTAGAGGGACACATAACTAACTACCTTTTGAAAGCTGAGAATGAGCCCGTTTGCTCAAGTTGTAATGTTTGTTTATCTTTCCATCATATTTTAAGAGTGTCCATATTTTAATAGTCTTCGTCAAAACATATTAATAGCTGTTACTTATCTCTCGACCGTTTAATCTGAAGAGAGGCTAATTGTAATTTATTTTATTATTTAAAAGAGGCTGGCTTTTACTACCTAATGCAGTTTTGAAGATTGTGTCTTGGATTTTAATTTGTGTTTTTACTTTGTTTTTATATGACTTCATCCTCTGGATTTGGTACATTTGATCATCTGTTTTAATTTATTGTATTTTAATTTCGTCAATTTTGATCATCCCACATTGTGTTTGGCACGTCATATTCATCTTTGGTTTCGTGCCAAAAACCTCACTCACTCACTCACTCAGAATAACCTAATGAGATTCATGCCTCTACAGCTGTTCTTTCTTCCCTAAAAACGTTTTCTCATAATAAATAAGTTATCTTTTGAGATACATTAAAGATCTTGCAGCTGTTTAAATCAATGTATTTATTATTTTGGATTTTTTTTGCAGTTCAGTCTATAGTGGCTTTAAGTAATTTTTTTATTTCTGCACTAAAGAGCTGATTACTTATTAATATATAAAAGAGGAGTTATGTGCAGAGTGTTCCAGAAACAGACCTGTGAAGTTTTTCAAGCTCAAGCAAATAATTTTACATGTATGTTTTTAGATTTTGGAGATTGAAGGAATTCATAAGATTCATAAGCATATTCATTTCTTTTTTTCTTTTCTTTTCTTTTTTTTTTAAATGGCTGCTCAATTTAGAGCACATAATCCAGTTAGTAAAATATTCATTGTTAAGTCCAAAATATTACTTTAACATGCCAAATCAGCAGATTTTCTCCACTGACTGTGACCAAAATGCTTGGAATCTTCTGTGCATAGGTGAAAGCAGTTAATCCATTTACAAAACAGGATAAACAGATGTTATGCAAAAAATCGTAAAAAGGGATTTGGGAATGGTCAAAATGGATATTTTCGTTGAAATATGATACTTGAAATTTTTTTGGTGATTACAATACTTCTTTACATCATACAAGGATGTAAAAAATCAATTTTGTATATATGATATTTAACTTTTTAAGCATTCCTTGCAATCCCTGTATTGATATTTAGGAAAATGCTTACTTGTTAAAAAACTGTATCTCCCGTATGAGCAATAATTGACAGCAATATTTAGTTTTAAGGTCGCACATCATATTCAGAAGTCATAACGAACTGAAGCCTGAAGTATTTGCATTTGTACTTAACTAAAAATAAAATATCAGTTTAGCAAAAGATTTCTGCTGCTACTAGATAAAGTGATGAATATTTCTATGAATATTATTGTGAGAAGTATGCATCAATATAATGCTTTTCAAACAAGAGATCTTATTCATGAAAGTTTTCAGAATTTTTGTGGTAGAAAATACTGACAAACTTTGGTGTTGTCATATTACCAACTCATAATCTTATTTGCATTAATTAAAAATTAAAAATTTTTCTAGTGAATTTTTTGTACAGTTTTTAGATATTTATTCTAAAGTTTTGAAATATTAGGATGATGTATTTCTAATATTTTGAAACTTTTTAAATAATTTGTACAAATACTTTTAGTATACCTGTTATCACAAAATTATAAATTAAAGAACATTACATGCTAGTAAATCACAGAAGACTGTCACTGAATGGCATTTAAGGAAAAATATCAATTTTGAATTATTCTAATTTATTTATTAACCAATCCTTCAAGGCAGTTTGAAAATAACATAAAAAATCACAAAGTCTGAAATTAAATATCTCATTCAGTTTTTGTCATATGGCAAATTTAAAAAAAAATGAATAAATATAATGAGCCTAACATTTGTATAAATTTAAGTATAGGGACTGGAGGAACATACAAAAGTAGCATTTTGTAGTTTATACAAAATCAATTTTAAAAATATGAAAATATGAATCTTATTGTGATTTAAAACATTTGTGTAAGTGGAAGTATATGTCTTTGACTAGTCTTGAAAATAATGGCTGGGTAATATCTTTTGTGAAGACAGTGTATATGGTTATTGGGGCAATTATAGGATGAATAATGCCATTGTGGTTTATGAGCAAAATCTGTGAAACTAATAAATTTGAGGAATTATACTTTATATAAATAAATAAAATTTAGTATCAAATGTTCAACTGTCCTGGATTATTTGATTGTCCTTAGTGCTCAAATGGGTCAACGGAAAGCACTAGGGCTATCTTTTCACACATTTGAGAAAGTCATAAAATGCAAAGTACTGCAGTCTTTAATTTTTAGGCTCTTAAATACTTAGAATCATAAGTAGTCGTGCAATGTTTTTCAGATGCCATATGCTTGAAAAAGATCAGAGTAGTGCTTTTAAAAGTTTGTTATGATCCTTTACTATCAGTTTGAAATGCATGAATTCTAGAATGTATACCTATCTATGCTTTGAACATAAAAATATGAAAAAAAAAATGATAAAATGGTGATAAAATTTATTTCATCAAGATTTTAAGTAAAAATGGGACATTTAAAATTTCTTTAAGTCTGAATTTGCCACAGTAGTGTTAATTTTGTTGGTATCCTCTGCAGATAATATTGATTTTGTATGTAGCTTCCCTAACCTCTAGAAAGTTGATATTCTACTTAGTATGTTTTAAATGACATTTCGTCAATTTTATCAATTAGTTTTGCCCTTTAATCATTTCCCTACAAATTGTCATTAATCATGCAGTGGTAAATGCATTTTAAGTGTATGTAATAATTTCCAAGCCATTTTGGTATTCTACAGTTGTTATTCAACTAGTTGCTGGATGTCCACAAATTATTTTTGGGGTCATCATCTTACTGGAGAATTATTTCTTTTCACTTGTGGCTATTTAAATTGAAGAAATCACGTGACTATTATATGGAATATCAGAATATGCTTCAGTATCTCACGTATCCTGGAATTCAACGTATAAATCATAGACAATAAGAAATAAAACATTTCCCATTTGTTCCAGATGTAATTTTGACTCATTGGGCCATAATCCTCCTTCCTGTTCTTTAATCTCCTTGCATCCATCTTTCACCGATATGCCACATTATGTTGCGTGTTGTTTTATTCAGTAGATTTATTTTTTCTTCTGGCATATGCTTCCATTAAGAATCTGCAATTAGTCTGCTAGCTTACAGATGAATTTGAAGCACGGTGAAAGTATTTTCTGTATAGTATAAAATGGATTAACAAATAGTTGCATTTTCCAGTTTCAGTAGTCTAAAATGCAGGTTATCTTTGTTGGGTATTTTGAAAGGAATTTTTTAGTGTAATTCTGGATACAGTTCCAATTCCAACTTTTCTTGTTATTTTCCTACAAGGAAGTAAAATCTTACGCTTTCACATAAATTCTGGTGTCCAAAGATTTAATATATCTTCAGCTAGTTTCAATTTCATATAAATGAGACCAGACAAACTGCACTGTACTTATATACAATAGTTATTTTAAACATTTCTATGCATATTTCACAACTAAGTGCAGTATTTTCTCACCCCCCCCACAATCATTACTGTGCCAAGGGGTAGGCTGCATAGCTTAGTAGGTCAATAATGGGAAACACATACCAAAAAATTAATTTAATTGAAATATTAAATTCTGGATATAATTTGTCATATTAATTTCTTCAATTTATCTGTTATATAACTATGTAGACTATTCCTGCTTGTGTTGTATAAATTCACCACTGATGTTCTTTCTGTAAAGTGCAGAAATGCCTTCCTTTAACCCTGTTCCTGTTGTTCCCCATCATAGTTGTTTCCCTTATGCTATTTTATAAGTGAATTGTAGAAAATACAGAATTAAGTGCTCTTTTTGTGTTTATAAATTCGTCTGATATAGTTGCCTTGCAGAATATTGGATGTTTTAAACTTAAAATTTTATAATTAAAACAATTAAATTTGTTTAAAGTTATATCAAGTAATAATTGAAATAGTTTTGTCTTAGTCATTTATTGATTAGAATGAAGAATAGGTAATGGTATGCAATCTTTAGGATGACTGGTTTTATAATCTCAGTATTTTATGCTTTCTGCTTTGGGTGGGGGGGAAGTTGTAATATAATTGCCATATCTTTGTCAATAATCATAAAATCTGTGCCTTTCATTATCTTATCTCTTATGAATGAAAAATACATTATTTCATCTTTTATTTTGCATTTTCTAATTTCTTGATTTGACATGTAGAGCAACATATGTAATCCAAGCTAGGCTATTAGCATTTGATTTGATAATATGCACATTTTTGCCCTTTAATTCTGTTCGAAAGAAGGCATTAATGAGAAACTTAATCAAGGAAAAATATATAGCAAGTTTTGTCTTAATTAAATTTGGACTTTTAGTGTTAATTTGCATTTCTTGTCAACAGTGTTTATCTATTAATTTCTTTCAATTTAGGGCTCGATCTCGAATTTTAGATCAAGAAGAAGCAAAGGATAGGGAGAGATATGTTGTGAAGTTCATTAAAGTTATGAAATATCTACGAAAGCTTAATAACTTTAATTCATACTTAGCTATACTGTCTGCTTTAGATTCCGCACCTATACGTCGTTTAGAATGGCAGCGAAATATAACAGAGGTAAAATGCATTTCAATAATCTTTTTTATACCTGTAGTCTTATTTGGAGTTATTTAATGAAGTTATGGATTTCTTAATACTAAGATCTCTTTTTATATAATTTTAAATCAGTAGTATTACAGTACAAAGTCTGAGATCTGGATGTCCAAGCCACCAACCTTTTTTTAAGGATTTTTTATTTGGTTCGCTTTATGCATGCACATTTGTTTTTTCCCCCCATAATTAAACATGCAAAAAGTCTCGATTCTTAATTTCACTTTGGCATTAAATAACATACCTCATTATTAAAGAAACAATAATTTGAGCATGAATTTTTGTGATCAATAATTTGACTCCCTAGCTGCATATCTGCTTAGCATATGTCTCAAACTGAAACATTCTAGATAGAAACATCATTGATGTTACAGGCCCACCAGCGGCCGAGCGGTAAAGTCGCTGAACACTGGTAGTTCGGTCCGAGGTTCGAATCCCGCGAACGGGCTGGCTGCATGGGTGTTTTCGTGGTTTTCCCCATGTGTAACGTGTATACGAGCCAGTTTTCCTTAGAAAGTCCTCCACGAAAGGCATCCCTTCCCTTTGGCAGATAGCCTTAGTGTGCTTTGCCGTAATTAAATACACCATCATTGATGTTACACCTACTAATATTTTATATCCCTGACACCAACCTGGCGAATCATTATTTTTTATATTTTGCTTTCATCACTGCATATTTATCAGCACATGACAACCTGAATAATGACTCGTGCAGCGATGCCCAAACAATTTATTTTATATTAGAAATTTAATAACAGAGTATGGTAACCTTTTATGTTGACATTACGCTTGGCAATGATTACAGATTAAAGTTAAATGCGCTACAAATGTTGATGAGGAAAAATCACTTAACAAACATTTCTTTCCATATGCTAAATAGGTTTTGTTAATAATGCTCGTAGGCCAAAAGATTATATTTAGTGCTATTTGAATTAAGAATAACTGATTTGTATTTCACATAAAGACAGAACTGGGTCAAAGTTCATATGGCCACACTGGGTAGCAGAATTTAAAGAACACAAAATTTTTGGAATTTTAGAGAAACACCGAGAAACAAAATTAGGGGGTGAAAAAATTTTTCAAATTTAGAGAAAGAACTGGGATCCAAACTTTAGGGGCGGCAAAAATTTAGAATTTAGGAAGGCACTTGTTAACAGAATTTAGGATCTGCAGAGACAGCAACATGTGGTAAGATATCTAGCGCTGGCATTCGATAAGCTTTAAGTATATGTAGGAATAAGCTTTGGTAGAAGTAAGTAAGGTTTAAGTATATGTTAAGTACCGGGTGATCAAAAAGTCAGTCTAAATTTGAAAACTTAATAAATCACGGAATAATGTAGATAGAGAGGTAAAAATTGACACACATACTTAGAATGACATGGGGTTTTATTAGAACCAAAAAAAAAGTTTAAAAAATGTATGATTTTATGCAGGATGGCGCTCCATCCCATATTGCTAGATGCGTGAAAGATCTCTTGCGCGCGTCGTTTGGTGACGATAGTGTGCTCAGCCGCCACTTTCGCCATGCTTGGCCTCCCAGGTCCCCAGACCTCAGTCTGTGCAATTATTGGCTTTGGGGTTACCTGAAGTCGCAAGTGTATCGTGATCGACCGACATCTCTATGGATTCTGAAAGACAACATCTGACGCCAATGCCTCACCATAACTCCGGACATGCTTTACAGTGCTGTTCACAACATTATTCCTCAACTACAGCTATTGTTGAGGAATGATGGTGAACATATTGAGCATTTCCTGTAAAGAACATCATCTTTGCTTTGTCTTAATTTGTTATGCTAATTATTGCTTTTCTGATCAGATTATTGCTTTTCTAATAAAACCCCATGTCATTCTAAGTATGTGTGTCAATTTTTACCTCTCTATCTACAATATTCCGTGATTTATTAAGTTTTCAAATTTATACTGACTTTTTGATCACCCTGTATATGTATAAGCCTTAAGCATGTGGAAGAAATAGATGAAATAATAAATTATTACAATTTAGGATTAATTGTCTCTGTACGTGATAGAAGCAAGACAGAATTTAGCAGAACAACTTGTCTTTCATCATCAATCTTGTGGCACGTAGCCAATGAAGTGTATCGGACACTGTTAACTGTTTGAGTCCCAAGCAGAGAAATCGTGCTGTTGCGATTTTATGTCGAGAAAACCCAGTACATTTCGAACATTATGGAAAACTGATGGTGCACTTAATGTTGATAAGATTACCTTACAGTACCTTAGATTAATTTCTTACCTTACAGTACCTTAGATTAATTTCAGTAGTCATTGTATTGACACGGGCTTTCATTAATACATTTGCTACCAACTAGCTCATGTATATAACATAATTTCCTTAAACAAACCAAAACTCGTATACAAGACAATGGCAGAGGCAAGTCCGTTTATAATTTCTCTTTGAACCTATAGCATTTGCATTTGTATTAAGTAGTGGTCTTTTAAGAATCTGTAACTCTTATTGTAATGCATGGTCTCATCTTCTGACTTGTTTAAATAATATTAAAACTGTTATATAACATTAAAATTATTAAAATAATATCAAAATAATATTTTTGATGAAAACAAACCAGAACTCTTATATTGGTGTTACTTCTGGATTATACAATGCAAAAAAATATTGTTGGTTTGTAGGAGATAGTGACCGTTTATTTAGCAGACATGATAAAGGTGGCCATCTGCTTCATGGATGATCTTCCCAATTCTTTCAAATCACTGTTAGGGGTCGATTGATGCAACATATATATTGTAATTTTTTCATTTTTAAAAATATTTTCTGTATTTGGAACTTTTGCAAAGCTTTTGTTTTTAATTGTATGGAAAAATGCTTCACCATTCTGGCAAAAGTTAACATTGTTAAAAAAATTTGTCATTTTATACCAGTTGTATCAATTAATTAAATAAACAGAACCCATCAAGCACTCAGGTCTTTTAGAGAAACCTCTTTTGTGTGCAAGTGCCACTTATGAGGGAATTTTTAAATTATGTTATTTATATTTTTTTATTTGAAAAAATACAGCCTCCTTGTGCATCACATAGGGGAGAGTAGCCTAATTTGGACCAATTTTGTATTTTTCACTATATAGAAGGATGGAAAAAGTGCCAATAAAAATTAAGTAGTAGAAAATAAACTCACTAAGTGTACCTTCAAAATAGAACCATTTATTAAATTTTAAAAACTATTTATAATGGTGAAAAATGAATTTAAAAAAATCATGTCATCGGTTCAATTTAGGAAACCGGTTTCCTCATTTGGACTGCTAGTTTCCTAAATTGGACCATAAGCTTTCTTAACAGAAATTACAACGAAAGAACCTTTTAATTGCAGCACTAACTCCAGCACACCGAGTATGTATCCAAGCGTGACATTTCATGCATTGTATCATTTCTTCTTCCTTGGTTTCTTCACATAATATACAAAACCATGAATCACCAGTTTCTTTTTTATGTTTCTGCATTTTGTTAAACTTTGGTGAACTGATTTTTGTTACTAGAGACGTTGACTACTACAGATAAGAACTTTCCTTCTTGCGGAAATATTTCTGCAATTAGCTTTTAAAATAAATTTTAAGCACGCTTACGCATACTTTGTCTCAGAGACGAATGGTTGCCATTCCCATAAGTTTTTCAAAGGGTAGCATTCTAGGGTTAATTATAATTCATCCATGAAAAAAAATCTCGTTGCCAAAATTGGACTGGTTCAATTTTGGCAAATGTTTTTGGTCCAACTTGGGAAACTTGAATATTTAATGCTTGATATTATACAGAAACGCCAAACTAACATAACCTCACAAAATTATAATTGCAAATTGTAGATAAATAAGCAAGTTTTGTGGTGGTATGATAAAACATGTAATTACTTACTTTTAGATGAAATAACTGCTTTCACACTTATGTCAAAATAACAGATTTTCTTCTTAGCCAAACAAATAACACTTCTCTCAGTGTAACCACGAGGCATTTCTTTACAAACACAATTCCATTAACCTCTTCTACATCTACGTATAACAAAATGCCTATCTCAAATCTTGCAGATATCACCAGTCTTTGTATATCATAGCAGTCCAAATAAGGCTACGGTCCAAATTAGTCTACCTTCTCCTATGTATGACACGGAGCTTACAGAAGTAAGTTAACCAAAACATTAAAAGTTACATGCATAAATCAATGGAACAAAAGCGAAGAACAGCAGTCTAGACTTCATGAAAAAAGATGAGTTCACTGGCCAAGTCACTCCGAACATTTTCAAATCATTCTGCAAGCATAATATAGGGCCATCAAATGTAGGGCATGAGAAAATCAAATGTTCCACATCTTGAGGTACTCTTTTTGAACATTGACATAAATTGTTTGATCTTAGATTAAAATGAAACAGGTAACTTGCAAATTTACCGTCACCAGATAGAAACTTTAAAATTTATAGAGAGGAAAGAGTCAGGATGCAGTCTGTGGTAAATAGATGGAAAGAACTTTTTGGTGACCTCAGCATTATAAGATGAAATACATTCCTCATTCCACTTAGTTAAAGCTGCTTAAAATGAAAGGACTTCCAATAGCTCTTTGGAATGCGAATATTGATATCAATGGTAAATTTAAGGCATTTTTAACTAAGGAATCAGCTCTTTCATTTCCATAGAAATTGTGATGAGCACGCACATAAGCGAAGCGAATATCAATTCCTCTATTTTTAAGTGAACTTAATAGGGTTTCAATAATTAATTTGTCGCAGCTGTTAATACTGTTTAAAAGGTGAAGAGAAGAAAGAGAATCAGAACAAATAAGGTACATTGAGGATGTTATCCCATTATCCTTGATCCATTTGACAGCAAGATAAATATACAGAAGTTCTGCTTGAAAAACTGTGCATTCATTCCGTATACACTGTCTAAAATAACGAATCTCGGAATGGCCTTCAAAAAGAACAAATGCAAGGCCAACCTTGTTGTTCATCGTACTGCCATCTGTAAAGAAAACCATATGAAAACTCTTTCTGTAGTCTCTTTTAAATCACAGAAATTTATGGGCTCTAAAATAGCGGGATGAAGAAGATCAGTGAAGGGGACAACTCCATCTATGCAGTCTTCTAAGGTATCAGTTGCTAATGACTCAAAAATATTATTCTTATATGCAATTTCAAAATCAATAGGCGGAACTTCTGCAAGAACAAAGTAGCCTCATAGCTTAAGGTTCTATAACCACTAATAATATGAAGAAGAATTCTCCGTTGAGTCTTTCTCAAATTTCTTTTGTTAACCTTCTTTGCAAGAACATGTCCCCAAGCACGGCAGCCATACGAAATGAAAGGTACAATATGCTGATTATACATTAGTTTCTTACCATCATAGCTTACTGCAAAAGTGTTTTTGGCGATTCGGCAAAAACTATTAATAACTTTTTCACATTTAGTACAAAGGAATTCAATGTGCTTTTTCCATGTTAAGTTTTGGTCAAGAATGACACCAAGACACTTAACATTTTCTGCAAATTCCAACGGAGGATCATCGAGTATCAAAGGAGCAATATTTTGTTCATCAAACTTTCTGGGAACAATCATAGCTTTATTTTTTGTGGGCTTGAAAGTGAGTTTATGTGAAATCGCCTAATTGGAGACAAAATCTAGAACTTCTTGTGCTCTTAAAAGAATGTTATTCAAAGCCTTTCCTTGGAAAATTAAAAGTAAGTCGTCTGCAAATGCAATTTTTAAACAACCATCGAAATGACTTAAAAGATCATTTATTATTATGTTCCAAAGAGTAGGTCTGGACACAGAGCCTTGAGGACAGCCTTTTTCTAGAGAATAAACCTTAGCTTCAGTCCCAAGCTGAAGCTCAGCAGTTCTCCTGTTCTAGAAGCTTTTAAGCAGATTATAGATATTATGTGGTATACCAGCATCTTTTAGAATTTTTAAGATAGATGGCCACCAAGCATTATCAAAAATCCCTTTGAAATCCAGAAAAATAAGAACAGTAGTAAATTTCATTTTCTTTCCATACTGCAAGATATTACAAAGATGAATAATGGCATCTTCAGCAGACTTCCGAGGTGTAAACCCGAACTGAGAATCATTATAAAAATCTTTCTGTCTCAAATACCAATTTATTCTGTTAATGAAGAGAGTTTCAAGACATTTTCCCAGAATACGCAAAAGACTAATGCATTTAATATTATCAAGGTAAATAGTTCTTGTATCTAAAGTTTTAGGAATCAAAACAACCTGAACTCTCTTCCATTGTGCTGGAAAAATTCCTAATTGTAAACAAAGGTTGAAAAGTCTGTGCAGAAAAGTGCAATCCACTGCATGAAAGTGCTTTACAGTTTCATTGGACAGAGAGTCTAGCCCAGGTATTTGTTCTTGAGATTTTTAATAACACTCTTAACTTCTGAAATAGAGATTGGACAGTCCTTCAATGAAATGTAAAGTTCCTCAGACTCAGTATGCATAGTTTTATGAGAGTTTCTGCTCAATGTATTAATGCTGCAACTTAAGCCCAATGCTGTAATTATTAATGTTAATTAAATTACAGTTGAACGCAAAATTGTGCTTCTGTGCACAAGTTAGTGCCAGAAATGGGCAAATTCGGTGATTGACAATGTGGTGCGGGATGGACGTATGTCGGAATTCCGGTCTATAGTGTTATTTAAAGTTAATGTGGTTTCTGGGAGTGATCGTATTCACTAGTTATGGCTCAAAGGCATTATTTAAGTGGAGGTCAAAGGTGGCAAATAATTGGTAGAATCAAGGGAGGTCAAACACAAATGGTGGCTGCCCAAGATTTGAATATCCCTCAGAGTGTCATTTTGGGCCAATATACCCATGGGCTATTTCTGACAACAAAAACCTTTGCCAAACAGAACAGTTTACTATCAATAATGGATAAGTTTGATATCACAACACACTCATAAGATCTTTGTTTTGATTAGTACTGGGTACCAATCACCATATGTGCACAAATTGGCAAATGTGTTAACCTGCTTATATCGCATCATGTTTGACATTGCAATGTTTGATATGTACAATATCAAAGCTGGCAAAAATTCTGCTCTATATAGAATGTACCATTTGAGCCATTGAAATTCTTAATTTTAATTATAAATGCTTTGTAATCACAGTTTCAGTTTGCTTTATTCTTATTGCCTCATTTCTCTCATTAGAGATGCGTATGTGTGCTATGAATTGATTACATTAATTTTTCCTGTTTGTTTTTTTTTTACTTCACTGATTTTATATTTGAAATAAATATATTTACAGGGTTTAAAGGAGTATTGTGCTTTGATTGATAGCTCTTCTTCATTTCGTGCATACAGACAGGCACTTGCTGAAACATCACCTCCCTGTATTCCTTACATGTAAATATTTATGCTATTTGTTCAAAATAGAAACATATTCTGCATGCTATTTTTTTTCACAATAATACATACTGGCAGTTTAAAAATATTATATGGAAGTGTGATCAGTACCGATCCTAGACCGTCGGCTGCCCACATGCAAATTGAAACTGCCCACCCATTTTTACTGAAATATAATATGTTTGATAATAATTTTGCCAGCCATGTGCTGTGCACCATCTTGCACGGTGCTAGGATTGGTCCTGAGTGTGATCAATATGAAACATAAAGTGTGATGTGTAGTTGTATAGAAATGTGATCAATATGAAATGTTGAATATGTTGTTAGATATATAAATATGTAAGTTCAGTTTGAATTTAAAGTCATACAGTTTAGTGATATGTAGTTTATTTACTAAATTAACTTTTATAACAGCTTTTCCTGCTGAGAACTGAAATTTTTGTTGTTTCAATTTAATTTGTACTTTGAATTTTTATTAAAATTTTTATCTTTAGTTTATATCAGTTTACATGTATTTGATTAAACTCTGCTTTGATTTTTCTTTTCTTTTAAGTGGTCTAATTCTGCAAGATTTAACCTTTGTTCATATTGGGAACAGTGATATGTTAACTGAAGATGCTATAAATTTTTCAAAAAGATGGCAGCAGTTCAATATTTTAGATAACATGAGGAGGTTTAAGAATTGGTAAGTCAAGCATGTATTTGGTTATATATATATATATATATATATATAAAGAAAAATCATGATTGTTTCTTCTTTTATGTTCCAGCATGTAGTACATTCAGTTTTAATGGGAAGATTTATTAGATATAATAAACATTTGCATTATTTTTCTAATTAAAGCTCTTATATAGATTTTGTTTTAAGTCTGAACACAATTTTTGTGTCTGATATAAAATAACTAAAAATTTTATGTCACAGGCATAAAAAAAATTTTGTTTTATAAAGATGAAAACCCCCTTGTCCTCTATCAAAATCCATATACTTTTTCAATGAAATCATATGTGCCAAATTGGCGTACATATTCAAGAATGAATTTATTGAGTGAATCAAGGAATGAATTTATTGACTGGATCAAGGATGGAATAGGTTTATTGACTGGATATTCAAGAATGAATTTATTTACTGGAAAGTAATTCAGCAATGTTTATTGTTGTTATCCCTGGCTGGATGGTGTTGACTCAGCCTTTCTTTCCTTGAATGGGTCGATAAAATGAGTACCAAATTCACTTGGGGACTAAACAGTGGGGGGTCCTGCGATAAGCTGACCACTTATCCAGGGCATATGCTGACACACCTTGGGACCCAAGGTTAAGAAAGCAGATTTCCCCAGCTGGACAAGGTTGACTCAGCCTTTCTTCCCTTGAATGGGTCGATAAATTGAGTACCAAGCTCGCTTGGATACTAAACACGGGGGGGGGGGGGGGGGTCCTGTGACAAGCTGACCATTTGCCCAGGGCATATGCTGATGCACCTCAGGGCCAAGGTTAAGAAAGCAGATTTCGGGGCACTGCTGGCCGTGGCCATGACCTTCAAGAGGGAGAAGGCCATGACGCTCATCGAACAAATCAGAGATGAGTCACGCTTTCCGTCCATCGTTTTTCCACCATTAGTTTTATAACTACCACGAGGCGTGTGTACGTTCTTGTAAAGCTCTAAATTTGCCAGTATAGTTTGTTGTTTAGTGCTGACTTTGTTAATATTGTAACAATGCGTGACTATTGTTGTGTACCTAAGTGCAATTCTAATTATGCTGGAACTGAAAATTATGTGAGTGTGTAAAAATTTCCAATGGATGAAGCAAAAAAAGCAGCTTTCATGCCATAAGATTCCTCGCTTGAATTTCATACCATCTAAACGAAGTGTTGTTTGTGAAAAACATTTTTGCAAAGATATGATTGTGTGTGAAGATGTATTCACGGATAAAAATGGGGCGATTTTAAGAATTCCAAGAAAATGCCCAATGTTAAAAGATGATGCATATCCATACATATTTCATGGCGGTAATGTGAAGTTAAATGTGTCAATGAATGAACATATAATAATATATATATATAGCTGGTTATTGTGTACATTCTTTGAAACTGCAGTGTGTAATCTGCAAAGAAAAGATATTAAGTTTGGATAATTTATTGATTGAAGGGGAGATTATGATAATCTATTATCTCAAACAACAGAAACCAAAGATAAGTGCATATATTCAGATATGGTAAGTAGAGGTGGTCTTAAGAAACTGTCCATACTAGTTTTTAATATTATAATCCATAGTTGTTGCATATTTAGAAAACTTATATCAAAGCAATATTAAATACATTTTCAAGAATCTCAAAATCAGCATTCAAGCATTATTTCACTTTTAAAAATATTTATTAGTGGGCTACTTGGTAATGAAATATGTCAGTCTTGCAACTGTGGTTTCTTTAATATTGTCATCAAAATGCTAAATATATTTGCAAACATTTGTTTAAACAATTATACAAAAGTATTAGAAGATAGTAAGTTTTCTGCTTCAAATGAATGAAAACTAAAGAAATTTCAAAAGAATTAAGTATTTTTATTTTCTTAATTGTAAAATGCTGTTTCATAAATTTTCTTATAGTATTTGTAACTCCAAGCATTGCATAGCTTATGCCATTTAAAAGATAAGTTATATGTATTTGCTAAGATATGACCATAGTATAAATATGAATGTTTGAATTTAGAGTTTTTACTATTAAAAAGTATATTGTTTCCATTGCTTAATTTTTGTATATATTTGTGATAGCAGGAAAATTCATGATAAATGGGATTAAAAAAAAAGTTTCACTGTATGCTATTTCCTGAAGAGAGTCTTTAATGCATGTGGTATGCTACTGTGTATAGTTAAAGATTTTCTGTGCAGTTTATGCGAAAGAGTTTACTGATTTTAGAAAATGTATTTTTTTAAATAAAATTATGATTATTTCAAAGAATAGAATATGTTAAGGTATGACAGAAAGATCAGATATTAAGAAACCACTATAAATAACAATAAATATGAATGTTTGATTATATGATTTTTGTTATTATATTTAAGTATAACTTTAGCTTTGTTGCTTAATATCATATATGTGATAATAAGGAAGCAATAAATTAAAAAAAAAGATATTGACATGCTGTTTAATGAAGAGCAGATTCTAATGCACTTAGTAAATTATTGTGTATGTTATTTAAAGCTCTTCTATGTAATATGTAAAGAAATGTTAATGATTTTAAAAAGCACATAAATGTTAATTGTAATTCCTATTATCCTAAAATTTGGAAGCTAAAATATGTATATGGACCTGCATATGTTGGAATGCCTTTTTTGTTATAAGATTTAGGTATGTTTCTTGTATGAAATATTTTTATCACATTTATTAGCTAATTTATATCGTATTTCATTTACATATGTTGGAGATATAGAAGTTGATGGTTATATATTTTGCTCTGAAACGCTAATAAATTAATACGCGGACCTAGGTAAAATATTAAATATTATCTTAAGAACCCCTTCTCAATTTATCAAGACATTGGCAGTTTTCAATCAGCGTTTAAATTTTTGTAAAATGTTCGTTTGTTCTTCGGTTCTTGGCTACATCAATACAGACCGATAAGCTTATTATCGACCTTAAGTAAAATTACTGAAGCCATCATATTGAAGAGAGTACAAGCCTTCCTAAAAGACAACAACGTCCTCATCCCTCAGCAGTATGGGTTCAGGAGTAAACACTTCACCACGCACCAACTCTATCGTGTTACAGAGATGATAACTGAAGGATTCAAGAAAAGACTCATCACAGGAGCTCTCTTCCTCAGTATTTTGAAAGCCTTTGACTGTGTATGGTTACAGGGCCTCACCTACAAATTAATCACTCTGGGTTTCCCAGATTACATCATAAACATCATTAATTCCTATCTTTACGATAGACACTTCGTTATAACAATACTCACTCTACATGAAAAGTAACTTTCCCAGGCTTGCCTCAAGGAAGTTTACTCTCGCCCAATTTATTTTCAATTTATACGAATGATATCCCTCACAACCCCTTCACTACACTAGCACTTTATGCAGATGATACTGCAATCCTCTACCAAGATGTGTCCATGGTCACAGTCGTACAAACATTACAAGAACACATCCATGCACTAGAAACCTGGATGATCAAATGGAAGATAAAAACGAATGTGGAAAAATCTGAAGCTGTATACTTCACTAAAAAAAGAAATATTGATCTGAATATTACCCTCAAGATGTACGATATCAGCATTCTCTGAGCCAAGCAAGTTAAATACCTCTGTGTCATTTTAGACCAAAAACTCACTTAGGCCCCACACATCACATATATTTTGAATAAGTTTCGGGGTACTAGAGCATTACTCAACCCCTTAATTGCCCGAAACTCTGTTTTATCTATCCAAAACAAACTTCATGTATTTAGATCCATGCTGCGACCAATTGTTACTTACGTCTATCCCGTCTGGGGTTATGTATGTAAAACCAATATGCTTAAAATCCAGCAATGCCAGAACATTACTTTAAGAATAATTTCCAACAGTCTCTGGTTTTTCAGAAACAAGGCCATCCATAATGAATTAAACATTGATAGCATCAGTATTTGCATAGCAAAAATTGCAAAAAATTCTTCAATAACATTGAAAAAGTCAAGAATAGTTCCATTGCTAGATTGAACTGCGATTATACTGATGATGAAAACAAAGAAAGACCCGGAGCAGTACTCCGGCACTTAATTTAATTGTACCTTGCTGTACTTTCATTTGAGAATCATTTTCCGTATGTTTTTAATTAAATTTCCCATTGTACAATTGCAGTTTTAATACTATTTTTAGGTTTTTTTAAGACACGCATAAGTGTTGCCATCTACATTTAATACCTGGTACTACTTATTTTATTCTCGCTACCTTGTTTTGCAAAATATTCTTTTTTTCTCACATAATAGTTATTTAGGCCAACATATATTATCTCAGCACATGATCCTTTCATTTCCATACGTATTTTGTTTTTAATTTTACCAGTATTAACTACCTTGTAATTCTGAATTTTCGTTAAGTTAAATTTATAACTAAGCTCCGCCCCCAACCAATGCCTGACGAGCAAGACTATGCACTCTCTTTCCAGGTCAACCATTGGAACATGTGACCCAGTAGCTCCTCCCAGCTTTTTATAGACCTTCTCTTCAATTTATACTACCTTCATTTGAGCGCCGGAAGACATAGAAGCAGCATGCGACTTCAATTTTATGCTTTTTTCTACAGTATTGCCATTTACATCTCCAGCTTATGATTCGACTGGCTCCTAGAAATGTATATACGCAAGGCTCATCCATTGCTTATAACGACATTTATTGCTTATCATGAGAATTTTTTCTCTCAGTAAAGAACTTTACTATGATATGCCAGAAAAGATATGCTGTTCTACACGACGCTACACACAGGATGTGGCTTTCCCAGCCTAGGAGCCTGTAGAAATGCCCAGCACCTGAGCCTTCAATTATATTTATGCACAAAGTTAATTAAAATATCTGTAAAAAGCCTAAAACGTGAACATAATGTATATAAAACCTCCTTTCTTTCAGCTATTTTAATTAACTAAGCAACATGATAAAGTTATATTTCTGATGAAAATTTAAAAATCCAGATGACTTTCTGACGATAACATCGGACGGAAAGCTCCGCCATGTGTATAAAGTGTCATAGCCTTCTCCCTCTCGAAGGTCACGCCATGGCCCACTGGCGTGTTGCGCCACTGAGTTTAGTTAAGTTATCTCTAAATTCTATACACAAGATATCAAAATTTTTCTGTTCATACTTTAACCCATTAAAGCATCATGAATATTTTTTTGACAAACTGAAATTTTTCTTCTGAAGAAAACTTATAAATTGAAAAATAACAGCAATATTGTAAATAAATAACTATTTTACATTTTATATTTACAGAACTTTTCCATCCCTAACACAATCATTTTTATAAAATCCTTCATCTTGTTACCTCATCATGAATGATTTAAGTTCCCTTGTGCTCCCATGACTTTGCTAAATGTCCTAACACATTTTTTCATTAAGCCTAACATGCAAAAATAATTCCTATGATACCTGCTTAAATATTTGGATTCTTGCAAATGTTATTTTTTATAATATGAACATAAAATCCTAATACTTAAAATAAAAATTCAGAATAAGTTAAAATGCAATATTAGTAATAATTATATTACCATATTTAAATTATTTCTCTTGATACCAAAGGGATTAAGAAATTTTATAATTGGAAATCTATATCTTGGATCAATATTTAACAAAATGAAAGCAACGTTTTTATACATCACATACTTACAGTTTCAAACTTTTAAAGAAAATTTCTGATGTTTGGCAATTAGTTGTAAGACTATCTTCTATAAGGAGATATAGATAAGAGATTTGTAAATAAGAAGTTAGTGCAATATAGTTTTAAGTGAATGCTAGGAGAATGACGTATTTTGAATATCCTTAAATACACCTTTTACCTCCATTGGTATTCAAGCTTAAAATCAGCCTGTCTATTCCATTTCAGAAAGAAAAAAAATATGATTTTGATCTTGCTTTGATTTTGAAAGCAAAAATTTAGTTTTTATCGTATGACAAATGTGTAATCAGACAGAATATTTCAGACATGAAAACAGAATTTCAGTTTCGTTGGTCAGCAAATTAGAATTCAAGACATAGAATTGACTCTCTTTCCTTTGTTGGAAATGAAACACAATATATAGCATTTTGAATTAGTGCTGGGTAAACATAGTCTTAAAAAATTTACTTTATACATTTCTTAGTAGCAATCCACAGAAATCTAGTTTCGTTGTTGTAATTTGCATTGTGGCAGATTTCGGAGACTATTAAACCCAGAGGAGGGAAGAAAAAGAATTGTGATCAAACATGAATATTTGACAGCTTTTTAGTCAATTTTAAGTGTAGTGTAATAAGTATAATTTTAAGTGTAGTAAGTAAAATATATCTACATAAAAGGTGTCAATAATTTAAAACAATGAAAATATTGAATTAATAACTGTAATCAGTACTTTGTTCTGTGTCAGTCACATATGCGCAAATATATTAGTAGTTATTCTCATGGTGGGGAGATTACTTATTTTCTAGAAATGGCCATTGCATGTCAAGTTCATTTCATGCATTCAAACAGAAAATATTTAATGTCCAAAAGAAATGAGTGCTTTTCATTTTGGTTATGATTTGTGCATTATTTTCAATTTCAGCATTTCATTAATTTCTGCATCTGACAACTAATTCTTTTTTAATTGCAGCCAGTATCCAGTCAAAAGAAATGAACAAATCATATCTTTTTTTAATAACTTTGATGATTACTTGTGTGAAGAAGCAATGTGGCAGATTTCAGAGACTATTAAACCCAGAGGAGGGAAGAAAAAGAATTGTGATCAAACATGAATATTTGACAGCTTTTTAGTCAATTTTAAGTGCCTGCATAGCTAATTAAAATCACTTGTAGGCATGTCATATCATAATCATTATCAGTTATAACTTATTTTGTTATATTTTAGTTTACATTTTGTAAATGAATTCATTGTAATATTTCCACACCATTTATATTTATCAGAGTTTTACACATTATTTCTACTGGGTTGTTCTGTAAAAAATTTTTTGTCTTAGTCTCTTTATCAGCTGTATATGTCATGTAAGTAGACAATACTTTGCTCATTATTCACAACTCTATGAGTTGGTAGCTTCTATTTGCCATGTATGTTTTTGCATTATAATATATGCATGAGATTTGTTAGCTATGTACCTAAAAACTTTCAGTGTTGTGTGATCGATTATTGATGCATTAAATATATTTTTAAAACTGCATCATGTTATTTTCAATTTGCTTTATAATTTATATGATGATAGCCGGTAATTTGTGACTGTTTATACCGGTGATTTTTCATATCGGGTGTTCAGTAATTTAGTCCACTTTAGATGGCAATAATTCAAGAATGGCTCAATAGATGACATATTATTATAAATTTCTAGTTAAAAAAATAATTTTTAATAATTAAAAATTTTTTCCTCCGCTTATGTTGAAAGGTAAATTTTTGTGACTTAGTCGATGTTTTTACTTAAAATATATCATTGCTGGTAAAACTGAATTGAAAACGCAGCATAAATGGGTAACAAAGCAGAAGAACCATCGTATTCCATGTTAGATGGTTTTATTCAAAAACATTGGTTTTGTTCATGAACAATTTTGCTAGAAATGTGCATTTCGGAGGGAGTCGCATTTTTAAAAGCGAGGCAGCTCACATTCTTTAGCAATAAAAGAAAAAAAATCATATCTAGTTTTTATATTTTTTTTTAAGTTGAGATCGTCTGTGCTCTGGCAATATTGTTCCTGCATTATAGATCATTCTCGTGTTCAATTTTTGAATGATGTAAAATCTTTCCTGCAATATAATTTGTTTAATATTATTTTTAAAAAAATGTGCATTAAAACTTCTTAAGGCAGTAGTGTGTAAATGAAATTACCTTTTCTATGATTATTTTGTTACTTCAGTCTAAGTTTTCTTAGGCAAATATCCAGCCATCATTTAGATTTTCTACTGAGTTGCTGCATTTTAATGCATGGTAATGCATTTAATGCAGATGTTGACAAAATTTTACTGGGCTTCGATATCACATTCTCATTTCCTGGACCTTTTTATATCTCTAAATATGAACAAGTTTTGTTTAGAAAGTTCTCTGAAATATCTGTCCCTTTAGGCAAAAGGCTTCAAAAGCTTCCCCACAAAATAACACTGAATAACAAAATTTAATGTTTGCTTTGTTACCTAAACATCAAATACTGAATTAAAAAAAATAGTGATTTCAGATTTGCTTTCCCTGTTGACTGTTATTTTTGCATAGTTGATTTTTTAATTTTTTACAGAAGTGCCATAATTTTGCATGAAAAGCCATTGCAGTTAGGGATAATTACTGTAAGACTGCTTTTATTCTGAGCAGTTGGCTGGTATTTTAGTTTCCATTTATCTTTATAATATATACTTCCTATGTACATAAATTCCATTGGAAAGATTTTACATGTTATACTTATGTCTGCTAGATTCTCAGGGAAACATCAAGGAAGGATTACAAACATTTAGTCTGATGTGGCATTTTGCACCTTAATGTTTTAGAAGTTTTCATAAGCTCACTAATTAGTTCTGCATGTGTTTCTTTTTCTTCTAGTTATCTTCAGAGATCTTTCAATGTATACAAACAAATTCAGTCACTTTAAAATTTAGGATCAGTCATTAGTTCTGAGAGTCAAAAAATGTTTCTTAATTTTACTTCCTACAAGCATAGTGATGAAACTTGGTTACTTCACCAGTAGTGAAAAATTGTGTTTTTAGAAAATGACTATTCCCATCTTGTGTACCTATAGCCTTCACACAGAGGTCTTCTTGAGAACTAGTTTTATGAAAAGAGGTGGCAAATCTGTGTGGGCACTATAAAGATTTTTCGTGAGCCAGATTTTTTTTAAAAAATATAAAACTTCTGTTTATCCCTAGTATGCAGTATTTTATGTATCCAAGTTGTAGCCAAATATACGCTTATTTTTCAATCTATTGCAAACATACTATGGGTATATTTTTTAGTAATTTCGCTGATCACAAGTTCTGCATTTCCATATGATTCACTACAGTACACAGTCATTTTTTGTGGAAAGTATTTTAAAATTAATTCATTTTGCCTGTGATGAGAGCTACATATTTTTGTTCCTGTCTTTGGAATTTTTTTGCTTTGATGATACTATCTCAGGCAGTTGTTTCAATAATTTAAGGTTGTGAACAAAGTAATTTAAGTCTGTACATCAAACACTGTATGCTCAGTGTTAATATATTTTTAGGGTTGAGAATGAGACATGAATTACCTCTGACAGTATAATGAATGGAAAGTCTAGTCAGTGGAAGTGTTCTATTTAGAAAAAGTGGAACCCATTGGAGGAATTCTGACTTCATAAACAAAATACATAAGAATCACTCCTTTTAGATTTCTGTAACAAAATCTGTTGATGAATGTATGGGACTGTTCATTAAATTGCTGTACATAAGTATTAATCTATTTTCTGACTTCTATATGTTAAATATTAGTCTTTAAGTAAGCTTCTTGTGAAAGAATGCAGGTGAAAAGAGATTAATTTCCTTCCCTCCAAAATGCCATTACTTTTGACTTTATATTTTATATTATGTATAGTTTATTTAATCAAACTAAAATTCTGTAAAGTTGCATTATTAAATTGTTTTATTTGGTTATTTGTGTTAATCATCTCTGAGCAGATTAATTATTATTCTGAATGATAACTATTATGGAATAAGTCTTGAAGATAACTATAAGAAGTGTAATCTCTCTACTTTGTATTTCTGTTTCTTCTTCTTGTTTCCATAGGTGACCCTTAGTCCCAATAAGTTTATAATAACATTCTCTTTCTCTCACAGTTTCGTTCTAATAGTAGAGTGGATTTCATATAAAAATAATTTATTTCTGCAATGTGAAAAATTATTGTAAAATAAATGTGGAGAATATATCCATTTAATGATGCTGAGATAATTCATGTTTTAAATGCTTTATATAAATATCATAAACTTGTAAATAAATTTGTAGAAAAATGCTCAATAAACTAGATCAAAATGAATGAAAATTTAGTGTTGAAATTTTTGTATATCTTTATTTTTTGCATTGCGTATTAAAAAAAATATTGTTATGGGCAATGCCTTAAAAGAACATTACAGGTGTCTTTTATAATTTAAATATAAGTTGTATATATATATATATATATATAAGGTGTATTTTATTAATAGCGTAAATGCTTATGAAAGTCATGAAATAGATACATTATATCAAGTAAATATATTATTGAATATGAAATAAAAGGGAAAATTATTAAGAATGCACTTACTGTTTTTAAATCAGTCACTTTTCATACTGTATGCAATGTCCAAAGTTCTGCTTTCAAAAGGCTGCAAGAAAAGAACCACTGCTTAGAATGATCGATATTTGATCTGAATATACATGAAGTAGTGGGAGTTTGTCAGTCAAAATTTAAAAAAAGTGTTCAAACTTTCATCATTAGATGGTGGTGTTCTTATCATATTATGCTAATTAAAAGACATGACATGCACACCATATATTAGATAATAAAAACATGGAGTACCTGCATTTCCTATTATTCTGTTTCTGAGAAGCTTGTCATGACTCTATCAATGAAGGAGAGCTGTGCTTATGAAGCTTTTTTACAGGAATGGTGATTATGCTTCAGCTGCCCTGATGTTTGGGACATTAATGTACATAAGACATGGCTCTGGTCTGAAGTCTGTCAAGGGTCTGGGGAAAACGATATGTAAATTCAAAGAGACCAATTCATTTGACATGAGATCTGGCTGAGGGAGAAAAGCAGTTGCTTTGTCATCAGTGGAAGATGTGGCTATAGCATTGTAAAAGGAGACAGGAAGTGGTGTTGGAATGTGCAGTGCAATGGGAATGGCTATCTTTAAAATTTTATGGGAATCCTACACTGCTGTCCATTCAAAATTATGCACATTCAGGGGCCTTGCTGACCTGTCAATATGACAAACTTTTGCCCTATAATTTTTGGAAGTGGACAATGCAAAGCCATGGAACATTTTGTGGACAAATGAAGCCCATTTCCATCTCTAAGGTTCTGTATATACTCGAAATTGCAGTACATTGCAGACTGTGGACAAGAGCTGCATCTTATAAAGTCTGAAACTTCTTTAGGCTATCTGAAGCACAGTCGCCATTCTTGTGAAAAAGCTTCATAAACAGACCTGTCCTTCATTCAAAGTTATGACGAGTTTCTTAGATGCAAGAATAACAGGAACTGCATTGCTGTCTGTTTTTATTAAGTCTGATATGTGGTGCACATGTCACATAATTTAATTTGCAAATTATGACAAGTACAGTGTCATCTATTGATAAAATTTTGAGCAATTTTTTCTTTCGCCAAATAAATTTCTGTTGCTTCATGTATATGTAGGTCATGCTGACCAGAGGCTCTTTTTTACAGTCTTTTAAAAGTGGCACTTTTAACACTTTCGTGACGGTGCACCTTTGTTTAAGACGCTCATGGGGAAAAAAGTTTCGCTTCTAGCATTGTAATTTTTGGTATCAGATTATTACTTGAGCTTTTACATATGTTAAAATTAGCACTTAAATAACATTTTTTTTTCTTTATTTTACATGAAAATTTACTTAAAAAATTGCTTATCTTGTAAAATAATTTTCAGAAGTTTTATTCAAATTATTCCAAAGTTTTAATTGATAAAATCCACCAATAAAGTTTAAAATTAATAAAACAACACAATAAAGACTATTTACAGTAAGAATAACAAAATTTAAAATGAAGACTGAGTGTGGTAAATCTCCAAGCATGGAGAAGCATCACTTTCTAACTCTTTAGAAAATGAATCATCACTCTCATCTGCGTTAGTAAATGGTTCATTGACCATACGAGGGTATTCTTCCTCTAATAAATAGCGCCTTCCTGCCATAATAGACTGGAGGTGAGGCATTCCGAAATAAAAAGAGAAGAAACGGAAATATATCTGAAGGCAATGCAAATCGTAACAGTACTCCACATTTAACCCTAAAACACCGTATATAGTAGGGGAAAAAATAGAATGAAAAAAGGTATTGGATATAAATTAGACTCACGAATGTTTTAATTAGCATGCAAAAATTTAAAGAGCTCACCTCTGTTTATGCTTCCCCCCCCTTCGCAAGAGCTAATGAGGAAAATACCAAAGCAGAATATATTAAACTCAAGGTCAGGAACCTAAAACTGTTGTTCGTTTCAAAAGTAATGGACATAGGATGCCATTTAGTGGCCTTCAGAAAAACGTTCCCGCTTAAAATGCGTATACGCATCACCCGTGCTCTGAATGCAATCTCTAGTGATGTGTGGATGGGACGCCCGGCTGCAAGACGTTCTTAGGGAATGCGTATATGAAAAATTAATTCGTTAAATTAAAAAAATGGTGACGTTAAGGAAATTAACACATGAAAAGTTCATTTATCACTATAACGATGCTACAGCATCGATATATGTAAGTTTTTTGTCCACACAAACTGTAGAACCGAGAATAACGAAATCATTTCTGTGTTTGGACTAAAATAAGAATAACATTTTTCTTCTATCTGCATCACGTCAGCCGAAGATTATATGGTTAAGTTATGGACTTTGTCTATCAGTTGTTGTCCAGTCTTTTACGCTAATTTGAACTAAAAAATCAGCGTAAGAGACTTCTGGACAACTTTTCTTCTCGTCTGATTGCTAACAAAACAGTCACTCAAACCAAGGTCGAAGTTTAAAATACAACTTTCTTTTGTCAACACGTCGACAGACGATTGCATAAACTGAAAATTTAACAGGACAAAAACTGATAACTTGGGAGTAACACAGTTCAAACTGAATCAACTGCTGAGTACGAAATTAATAAGCCTAGACCAAACCATGGGACTCATGCCTGAACAAGTGCTCATGAAAAAATCGCGGTTAACAAAAACTTTTCTTTGCAAGCTAATTTTCAATAGCAGAAAATTTAAACTAGACTAACAGCCAGCCTATATTGCCAAACGCTCTCCAAAAAGGAACTAGATACATTAAACTAATTTTATTGTAGTGGAAGTCGACAAAGGTAGAAATTAAAAAAAAAAAAAAAAAAAAAAAGTAAAAATAACAATGTAACTGGGTTAATTCAAATAAAACCTTACAAGATTACGAATTAATTTAGTACTCGGGTGTTAAGCAAAAATTAAAAGTTAAATTTACGAATATTTTTGTCATTAATATGTAGTCAATTTACACTTTTCTGTGCATGAACATTTATAATTACAAATGCTTATTTTAGACAGAGCTATTTTAGGAAAATGCATATTTTAGATGAGGTATTTCAAGAACGGGTCTGAGCCATGAATTTTATGTTAAATAATTTTTAATGTGTAATTGCTATCGTTAAGATGAAACAGAAAAAAAAAAAAAAAAAATTAATACCTACCCATAATAATAATAATAATAACCCGAATTATGAATTTGTTTTGAAAATAGGGAACGTTTGAAAGTAGTTACAACGGTGCTAATCAGTTTTTTTTTCGACTTGTCTATCAGTTTTTATATTTTCGAGATTGCGAGATCGTTACTTTTTCTGATCAATCAGATAGTGCGAACCAAAGATTCAGCCTTTTGAAAGTTTATTATAGGGTGTTTGACTGTATTTTAAAGACAATTTAAGGATCTTTTGTACTAAAGGAGAATTAGACACTCTTAACCCCTTGACATACAAATAAGAGAGGTGGAAAACATGCAAAACAGGATCAAGGCACGACTACCGCAGTAAAACAACCAACCTAATAATTTGCTGCACGGTGTTCGTCGAAGAAAATTCTTGCCGTCTGCCGTAGTTAACTGCATCAATTTAAATGTTACTCAATACGTAAGTATTAATTCGAATTACAGACAGTAAATTATTAGTAATAACTAAACTAATTATCTAAAATTAATGCTAGTGAACATGAAATATAAGAAATAAAAGGTTACAAATTTAGTTCATTTTGAGTCTGATAGTTCAAGGGGGGTATATCAATTGCACAGGTCTCTTAAAGTCCTTTTTTTTTAGTTTTTACCACACATGATCGTACAAGACCATCACGTCCTTTAAAGACTTGAATTACTCCGACCTAAATCCCCCAGAGGAACTTAAGATTTAGTTGTTCCTTCAAGTTAAAACTATATCACCAATTTTAAGATTTTTCTTAGCTTCTGGTGTACTGTACGAAGAAGTGAGCATTTCTTAACTCAAGAAGATACTGATTTTTCCAGAACTGTTTTATAAGTGTTGTCTGATATTCTTTTCGTTTTATTAGACTCTTTCTTGTTGGAGAACTATTCAGGATCTCAGCAAAGTTGTATGGATGTTCATCCTTATGTCCGATCGATAGAAAATCAGCCCGCGCAAGCTGTTCAGGTTCATGTAAATCGTTGTAAACGTAGGTCAAAGGACGTCTATTCACAATATTTTCGATCTCTGTCAACACAGTCATAAATTCTTCAAAATTCAGTTGAGCTCTGCCTAATATCTTTTTTAACGGTTCCTTTATGGTTTTCATAAGGCGGTTATAAAAAGCTCCCCACCATGGAGCAAGCTCGACGATAAATTTCCAAGTCAAGCCTTCATTTGCTAGAAAATTTTTAAAGTCTGTACCTTTAATTATGCTGTAAAAATACTGTAAATCTTTGGCAGCATATTTGAAAGTTTTCGTATAAAATGTTATCCAAAATTAAAAAACACAAACTTCTAAATTGGCCAAAGGTTCCCGGCCGATGCACCATATCGCGAAAGGTTGGTTTAATTCTAATTGAAGCCAATACTTCAGCAATCTACAAAAATAATCATTTTATTTACAAAGCAACCTGGATTGCATCGATGGTTCACTACTAACTACGTCGCAAACTGAAAAACTAACATTCTTTCTCAGAAGCGAAGCGCCCTCTAACGGCGATACAGAAATCATTTGTGGGGTTTTCCCCAAACATTATACAGACTTAAGACTAAGTGAAGATAACACCGGCTTAGTTAATATATGAACATTTCAAACAACGAAAATTAAATGCTTGAAGCAAGGTGCTACGAATACTTATGTTGTCATTAGAATTCAAAATCAGTATTTGGTGAATATGAAATCGGAGAAAAATCTTTTTGAGAATTAAGATTTATCAC